TCAATAAAATGATATATAAAGAACACCTTTTCCCCCACCAGGCAGACACGGTGCTCAAAACCCACGACGACCTAAGGAACTTCTGGCGCAAGTACCACCACGTGCAGCTCGAACGCCTGGCTCTGCGGAGTGAGGCGGAGGCCCTGCGGCAGGAGGGGCAGCAGCTGAGGGCGCGACTCCGCTACTACCTCGTGTCCCTCGGGATGACCGACGCGGCGCTGACCCAGACCGCCGCCCCCGTCTCGGTCTCCCACGTCACGCTCAGTCTGTATCGGAAGGACGACACGCCGGCCAAGTGAGTGGAGCCTCTGGCGCGAGCGGCTGGGAGAGGGTGGCGGCTTCTGGCTTTGGCTTGGGATTAGGTTGACGAAGAGGATTATTGGCTTTCCTCTTGTTGTTTTATGTTTTGATAGGTTTTTGAGGGGAGCCAAAGTTAGGGGAAGGCTTTATAATGGTCAATTGGTCAATGTTGATTTATCTGAAATTTTCTTGGTTGTAATTTATATTCATTATGACAAGCTATTCTATCCTAAAGATCATATGACATGACTATTAATTATCATAAGTATTCCTGACACGCCATGTGTTCGACCGATAACTACATGTGCCACAGTTTCATCTCCTCCTTTCCCTTTTGCCGGTCTCCCTTCTTCTCTTTTTATCTCCTTTTCCTCCATTTCCTCTTCCCTTTCTTCTTTATCTTCTGTTTTTTTTCTTATTATTCATTATTATCCTTTTGTGCTTCGTTCATTCACAATCTCAATGACACCCGAACATCTACAACTGAAGACGAACCGAAACCGACTTTCCTTTCGCAGGCGGAGGTCGAAGTCCGTCCCCGCGGGCGTGCTGGGCGGGAGACTGATGCCGAGAGCAGCGGCTTCGAGGGGCGCTCTCATCGTGCAGGAGGGCGGGCTGCTGGTCAAGGCCGCCGCCATGCACGCCACACACAGGGTCCTCACCTGATCGCCCCGACGCGTCTGCCGTGTTGAGAAATGCTCGATAAGAGAACTGCTTAAGAGAAATGCTTGATAAGAGAAATGCTGAAGAAAAATGCTTGATAAGAGAAATGCTTAAGAGAAATGCTTGATAAGAGAAATGCTTGATAAGAGAAATGCTTAAGAGAAATGCTTGATAAGAGAAATGCTTGATAAGAGAAATGCTTGATAAGAGAAATGCTTAAGAGAAATGCTTGACAAGATTGCCTCGCCTTTATTTTTGTAAAGGGATTCCACTGTAATGAATAAATCTTCAAAACATACGTTTGTCTCTGTTTCCTTCCCGTCCCGCGATGCAGGGTAAGTCTTTTGAAAAGATGTGGGATGGATGTGTTGGCTCTTGCTCTCATGTCGTATTATTGTGAGTCTAAGATCCTGAATTATTATCTTGTTTTAACTGCAGGTAGTTGAGCTTGTAGAATGAAATAATATAGTATTAGCGCGAGTCGATGTAAAAATTAGTACGCGACTGTGACGAGGTCGTATTCTGGAGATAAGAGAATATTAGGTACATGGCATGAACTTCTATAGAAATAAGATCTATATTCTCTCTTCGTGTCCCAGGCGCAAATTACTTCTTACGGAGATCATGGGCCGCAGGGCGGCCATCAATAAGAATTCATGTTCTTGGCTGCTGAATACTGCTTAGAGGGAAACGACACGATTGAATTGGTTGATACAGGAAATGAGATTCCCTATTGCGAATACAGGCTTGATCTGCTGTTAGCCTTTGCAAAGATCAGGATTAAGCGACGATGTCGTCTTATCAGAAATCGTAAGTGTTAGATGTCAGTACACTCAGGATATTAACATTTCTTCTCGGGGAGGTATGCTACCAAAGAGCAGCCTTACAATATCTGGTATATACTCTGGAGAGATATATAGTACAGTTAAGGATAAAACAGACCACAAATTACTATGGATATACGCAGATCAGTATATACAATCAAATATCTCTTCTGGTTCATATCATAATCAGTTATGTCTACTGAGATCAGAAATACCGTAGATTGAATTTTACATCTCAGAGTTAGGCGCGTTTATCACGGATAAATGAGAAGGAGAGAGGCGGGAAGGTAAATCTCTCGTATTCCAAGAGACGTGCGAGAGTCATAGGTGTGTGTTATAGTATATATATGTAATGTCATAGCAGTATACGTCCAGATTAAAAAATGGGATATATGGAGAGAAGAGTATACAGACTCTCGGTCTAACACTCCATAGATGCAACGCGCATATCACAATCGCGACGATCATACGTGGACAGGACGGTACTTCAGTCGCAGTTTACGGTTATACACTGAGACAGTCACACGCACTACGAGAACTACACAACGGCGACACAATCTACATAGACTCCGACTCACACACGCATCACACATGCCAGCACGATCACATAAAGCGGCACCACACAGCAGACTCATCGACATGACCTATGATGACGTGTACATGCAGATACAATCCTGGTTCAGTCAATACCAAACGCATTAACAAGGGTATCAGCTATAAAATTTTAAAATGCCAGCCAAAAATCAAGACCCAAGGCACAAAGTTATGAACTTTCGAAACTTGACACACGACACCACCACACAATCAGATCACATTTATATCACAGCACTATACACAAGGACAAGCAGAACAGCATATCTATATCACTCAATTATCAACATTGATTAGATAAAATAAGTCTACACATTTGTGCCCAATACACACACATACAAGCCACACACACATATACAATAATCCACCACGATGTAGGACTGACTATGCTTTGTCTTGAGAAACCATCGTCATCCACTATGTTCTGCGATCCATGAATATCCTACATCCATTTTTATCTCAATTTATAGGTCTTTACCCATCTAACTGTGATGGCTATGGGTTAGGAACAATTCTGTTACACACAAAGACTACACAGGGATTGGATTTAACTACGTCGAATCGTAGCGTTGAAGAAGTGCTGAGGATAGGTAAGGTCTGCGACGTTCTTGCTTCAGAGACTTATATGCGCTAGAATCGTCGCTTGCGTTCGCGGTTCAAGTGATGATGGTGATCTAAACTTCGACAGGAGAGTAGCTGGGTATGGTCAGACATATAACTGGCGGTAACTGCGAACAACTCCACACACACACATACACACACACACACACACCCACACACAACACACGCAGACGCATACGCACGCACGCACGCACGCAACACACAGACACACAGCACACACACGCTAAAGAATCTCAATAGTAGCTGGGTAGGGAACACATGAAATCCACGGAGGGTATGCAATCATTTGAGAGATCTGTCTAGCGCTATGCGCGACTGGGTATCGAGAGGCAAGCACTACAGCATTATAGCGAGCGACATCGGGTCTCGACAACACAGACGATATATATATCGGTCTTAAATGAAATGTTGGAACTTTATGGTACCTAGAATAGTGTTATAAAAGTAGTATAGAACATCGGTCTAATACTATCACAGACACCCTTGGACGTGTATCTATGACGAGGAGGCATAATAAAGTAGCTGAGGTAAGTAGATATAGCTGCTACTCAGTAGAAATGGACTATATGTGTGAGCTGACGCGCACGTGTGTGTGTGTGTGTGCGTGCCGTGTGTGTGTGCTGGTGCTCGTCAAGATGTGCTATGATTGAGTTAGATGTATAATATCGGGAAAGGTTAGATAACATCGTATAAAGAGATAACTCAGGATGTGGGTAAATAGGTTTGTGTGAAGCGTCGCTCATTAGTTAAAAGTGAGTTAGTCCGGGCAAGGCTGTCCGTGCTGCAATGCTACGTCTAGCTCATTGTGCTTCTTAGTTAAGGGTGGCTAGAGTTTAGACGTTCTAGCTACTCTGATAGACACGAGGAGTTCAAAATGTCTGAATTGAGGCCGTGATAATGACAAAGGAATTCTCAGATAGAATATCTGTATACGGGCATATGAAGGGTTAGCATAACCACTGTGAATCTGGTGAATCTATCACTTATAGATGATTGACCCAGTTACTTAACAGTCGGAGATAGTAGAATGAGTATAACAGTATATGAGATCTGTCGTGGAAAAACTTACGAATGATTACTCACACACTCGGAGTCATATAATAAGTTAGCTCTACATCGTGTATTTTGAAGGTCATAATGTAGTACACATAACAAGTAAGAATGATAGATATCCCTAGTATTCCAAGGAGCATAATCACATAATGAGTTTAATGCTGAATTAGATCAGTTAGTGTAGAAGACACATTTATCTATGTCATGGTAGCATATGCGAACTATTGAAATTAGGCTGATAGCTAGTATAGATACACTAGCTATAAACTGAGGATCCTACTTGCGGGTGCTAGCGGTGAGTACATCTAAAGAGTGCGTGACTAAATATAAAAGGACATAGTAAGGGTTTGAGACATCATCAGAATTCACTACTTATATTATAGATGCTATACCAATACAAAATTCATAGCAATAGTATCTATATATATGAGGGCTATGATACTTTGACCTAGTAACACCGTTAGTAGTATGTTTACATGATAATCACTTCAATTAATAAAGAATAGTACTATTATATATATATATATATATATATATATATATATATATATATAAACTATATATATATATATATATATATATATATGTGTGTGTGTGTGTGTGTGTGTGTGTGTTGTGTGTGTGTGTGTGTGTGTGTGTATAAATGAAAAATGTATATGTATGTATACATATGTACATATGGATATGAAAATGCATGCATATATAAATTTTACTTTTGCTGAGTCAGTATTTGATACAAAAAATATACAAAACTGCTACGTCATCCTGTCATATCAAAAAAGCACACTATATCTACCTTCAATTACATCTTTTAAAAAGTGTAAAAACAGGCTACAAATGAGAATAAAACATTAGCATTATGGAAGTAATATTTATTTCAAAAGTCAATGGAAACCGAGCCAGAAAATTTTACGAAAAAATCAGACGCGAGCGAATCGGTGTTTACAT